CGAAATGCTCCCAAACGTCCAAGCGTCTCGAATAGCCTCCATTGAGGGAGCCCTACACAGTTTCAGTTTGTACAACAATTAACCATGCATTATGGTGCGCCGGTTTTGGTTTCTATCTTTCTGCTGCCCATTTGGATGAACATTAAGAGAAAGACAGAAGATTGAAAGTAGGATCGAAGAGAGAAAAGAAAAGTTCTGTGGACTAAAGATAGGAGAGAAATTAAGAAGATGCACGAACACCACCGTTTACGACACGCAGCCATGTAATTCAGTGTCTCTAACCATCAATAACGATCATCCCGAGGTCCCCATCCAGGGAGCCTAACAGGACCTATGTGACCCAAACTCCTGGTTAGGGTTTTCATATCTTCATGCCAGGTTTCGGCTTGACCACCATGGACTTTATTCCACCCACTACCTGCCTCGGAAAACATTGCACACCGTGGCAACCTATTTGATGACATGCGTAACACATGCCCAACCAACGCAATCTACGGAGGTCGACCACTTGCTCCAGTGGGCGACCGCGGTTGCCTAAAACTTTGCGCCTGAAATCAGCATTGCTCGTCCGGTTACCCCATCAGACTCGCGCAATGCGACGTAGACAGCGATGTTCAAACACCAACAATCTATTATGTTCCCATATTGACCAAGTCTCTGCACCGTAAAGCAGCACTGACTGAACGACTGGAGCACATACCCGACCCTTCACAGACAGCCGGGTGTCGCGACAGCGCCACAAATGTCTCAAGTTGGTAAATGCCAACCGAGCCTCCTGTATGCGAGCTGACACTTCATCCGTGATGCGTCCACCGGGTGAGATGTAGCTGTCCAGATAACAAAACTTCTCCACCTGCTCTATTACTTCCCCAGTTAGAGTGACGCTGGGTGCTGGACCAACCCAGTCTTGTAGTAGCATTTTACACTGTGAAGGTGCAAAACGAATACCGAACATGGCTACACTAGCACTCAAACTTTCCAGAAAAGCTTGTAACTTCACCAAGTGGCACAATGTCGTCTGCATACTCTAGATCAAACAGCCTGCCACCTGGCAGTAAATCGATGCCACTATCTTCGCGCGAGGATAGGGCTATTTCCATAATCACATCGATAACAAAGTTAAATAGGAGGAGGTAACCCTGTCTAACACAACTCACTGCCTTCGCGTGGCGGAGGCGTTTGCCCACCAAAGTGAGAGGACGAAAAGCCAATATCCGGGGCTATACCCGCGTTAGTGGACCACTTGTAGTTCATCTAAGGGAGTTGGCCAAAAACCCTGATTCCAAACCAACCAAGAAGAGGCGTACGAACCACACCCACGACTTTCCGGTTATGGCAGTGGTCACCCGCTCAATTGGGCACCGTGGACGTTTGACCCCATCCGAAGAATGCATGATCCGATGACACCAGCCTCCAATGGACTGCGGTTTTCGCACACTGCGCAGGTCAGGCTTTGGCTAGCAAAAAGCTCCGATTGTGGATTTCTCAGGAAAATTCATCTACCTTGAGGCCTGGGCAACCTGGCAGTATTCATCCCACATGTAAATCACGGAACATTTCTTTTTCATAAAGATTATTTAACCATGATTTGTTTGGTGTACGGTCTAGATTCAGACGTGTGACAACAATGATAATAATACAACCGTGTTATCAACAGCACCAGAAAAACACTAGAAGCGATTGAGATAAGTCTAGTTGCAGTCGAGAATGGAAATCTGTTCTGACTGGGGCGTTTCGGGGACAGGTGATCTCTCGAATCCGAATGGCGACTGCATAACGCTTAGGTCATCGTAGGTAATTGATTTACCGGAAATGTAGTGCATTCATATGAGAGGGGTAAATTGAACCAAGACAGCAGATTCGAGATAGGACAACGCAGTGCCAAACATACCAGTGTATTCTCGCACAGCGCGTGAAAGACCTGTATCCGTTGATAGATGGATAGCTCGTCAAAACAACGTTTCTCCAGGGGACTGACACGAGTACCACAAACGCGAAAGAAATGGGGCGGCAATCCAAGACGTCGAGTGGCCTGTGAGAGAGAGAGCAAAATAAAATATGTGAACGAAGAAAACGTCAAAGATGGGGTGAGGCGAATTTTTTTCTCTGTTTAAAGAAATCTTCCAATCCGTTTGGGGAAAAAATTGCACGATGAAAACCAGGCAAAAAAATCTAACTGTAATTTTTTTTCAATTTTGTGTTTTAATAGCAAAAGTGTGCGGTGATCAAAGGGCGGAAATCTAGCCGTGTTTTACAATTTGATGTAGCTAAAAGGAACTTCCGTGACTTTTGTACGAAACAACCGATTTAATCATGCCAATATGTTCTTCTTCCCAATCGGCCTAAAACTGATAGTTTCAGTTCAGAGAAAAATTATCTAGAAAAATTTCGCTGTGTCTCTTCAGGTACATACTACAGTCAAAGAATATAATGAAAACTAACAAATAACATTTATCGCGGATGAGCTGTTGGTGTTATCTTTCTCCATCTTTTTACCAAGGTAGGGCTAGAGTTGTAACTAACTCTTTCTGCTTGCACAGTTCAGGCTTCCGTCGTTTTACAGCAATTGCCTCTGTAAACTGGATCAACCAAGAGCTTTTGGGGTGATGACGACACTCTTAAATGCTGTAACTCTAGCCCTACCTTGGTAAAAAAAATGGAGAAAGATAACACCAACAGCTCATCCGTGATAAATGTTACTTGTTAGTTTTCATTATATTCTCTGACTGTAGTATGTACCTGAAGAGATACAACGAAGTTTTTTCCGGAAATAAAAGGTGCAACACTGTGCTGCTGTGTTTCTTATTCAAGTTCATATCGGGAAAAGGTTGTTTCAAAAACTATCTACACTGACAGATGATTGATCTGCAAGGACTGCATTCCAAGTTGATTACGATACATAAACTTACCAAAAGCCTATTTACTTACAAGCCGCTTTGTGAACCCATCATATCAAACTTCGATCAATTGGACAATCGTCGACCAGTGTAGATATGTAAATGGGTGTGCGACAGCATACCGCGCGAGCCCAGACCGGAGCCTCCGACTCAAGTTTGATTCACGAAATAACGGGAATTTTCGCATTCGTATTCGGAGGAGCCTAATGCTAAAACGCCCCACCCACCAGGGGGAGTGGGTCATAGAACCAACCTGACGGAAGCACTCGTCATCATCGTACAGCGAAATACAGTGAAGCGAACTTCACTGACCGCTGCCAAACTCACAATGCATTCAAGGTTAGTGGTAAAATTTAAGTTGGACATGGGTTGGATATATTTTGAGGAAGGGAGAAGAAGGTGAGCCACTATGGTCAACACACAGAGTACGTAATCGAACTCTGCATACATACTATTCAAGCATTCTGACCTGATAAGAAACGACAACAAGAACGCCACTGCTGTCGGTTCGCTGCCATATCTTTCAAAGTCTCCAACCAACCAGTTGGGGAGTCTTTCGGACCCAAACCTGGAAGGCGAGAGACACCTACTCTACCTAACGGCTCTGTGCATTTCTTCATGCATCGTCTCCACATCATCTGTTGACCTCCACGTGGTTTCCTCCAGCCCGGATCAGCTACAGCGAATAAAGCGCGATGCGGCAGACGATGACTGGGCATACGCGATTCGTGCCCTAGCCAGCGAAGCCTAGTAATTTGAATTTGATATGCTAGCAGGTTTATACCTGACAGGCTTACCCCCACGTTACTAACCCGTTCACTCCATCCAACATGGGCTAAACTGCGTAAACACCGATAATCGAAAACTTNCGAGCCTTGGAAATGCGGGCGGTTATTTCCTTTGCTGCACTACCGTCATTGGTCACGCAGCTACCTAAGAAGGGGAAGTAATCCATCACAACTAAATCCTGGCCATTTAGTGTCAGAGTGGGAGTAGACGAAACCCAGTCCTGAAGCACTCGTGTGGAGCTTTTAACACATCGAAAACGGTGGTAATCAGTATGTCAATCAAAAGTGGTCCCTACACTCATGCACCACATGCACCAGGCGGAATTTGGACCTCATCGGCCGGGAGCCTGTCCACAATGAGTTAACAACAGCAGCAGTCTACTAAAACATGAAGGTTTGTNAGTTCCGGAAATGATCCTGGCGTTGTGCGAGGAATACGGTGTTCCGATTCTCCCCGGTGGTGAATTGTTATAGGTAAAGTAAGAGTTGATGAAACTGCGCTAATGCTAAGTGGAGATCCAGCTAATTTGCAAGCTTTCCTGGATAGGCTTTTTAGGTGATTATTTCGAAGTGGTGGTGGTGGTAGTAGGCAGTTCTGCTGTCGCTCAGCTCACTACCACGTTCAATCTATTAAGACCTTATGTGGTTTACCATTCCAAGTCTCAGGGCCGGGTTGCCGGTCTTCTCTCACACCAAAAATGAACAATATAACTCACAGAAATCAAAGAAGGCCCACTCTACCTACAAACTCCAAGTCTCAGGGCCGGGTTGCCGGTCTTCTCTCACACCAAAAATGAACAATATAACTCACAGAAATCAAAGAAGGCCCACTCTACCTACAAACTCAGCACTGCATAGTCATCGCTAGCATTCGTAGTTTCAATCGAAATGTGAATTCTGTACACCACTTTCCCCAATCTTCTTCTCCCCTGATTTTATTTTTGACCGAGACGCAAACTTCTACCTCGTCAGACACTATTCATCTACGGTTCCATAATTAC